CCATTGCAAAATCCATAGATGAAATGAATATCTGCAATATGCGCACTTGAATACTGCTGATTATTCATGACGAATCAACAATAAATTTCACTCCGAAAGCACTTTTGGTCAAGATGTGTTGAATGAGTAGAGAGTAACGAACAACTGACTGTTAATTGTTGAATGAAAAGGACCGTTAAGTACCCTTAGAACTTTTTTTCAATCAGGATTGTGCTTAGGAGCTTATCTTTTCTCCCTTTTACACTTGCAAGCTGGGCAGAGTGAGCCAGGTAATAAATGGTTAAATTCATCGCCATTGTTGTAACCGAGAGCGATCTTTTGTGTTGTTAAGATACTAAGTTCGAGTAGTAAAAATTTTTAGAATTGTAGACATACGATTATGATTTTGGTCTTGTTTTTAAGAACAGCTGAAATACTTTAAAATTCATACACAAAAACAGTACCTTAATTTGGTTATTTTAGGATTAAATTACAAAAACTTAGTTTTTTTGGCAGTTTTTTTGGTAAAAATTTACATTCATTATTTTTTTTAGGCAATCCCCCACTTTTTTTTGTACATGACAGATATTTTATTCAATTTCCGCTAATCTTAGCTTTCCGAAAAAATATTTTTTGTGTTCGTATTGCTTTTACTTCTCATAATATGATAATTTTAGAACAAACGTCTAGCAAACTAAGTATAACAAATCAAAATGGCTGCCATTCCTAGGGAGTCGAGTTTTGACCCCACATGTATTAGTGTTTTTCACATAATATTGAATACTAAACACCCCCTTAAAGTTTGTACAGAGCGTGCCCTAACACACGAATCCATTTCCTTAATTCACCAGCATCAGACGGCTGAAAAGTATATACTATAATACCTAAGTATGAAATAAAAGACGATCATAGCTACTTTTTATTCAATATTTTATTTCATTTGTTACAAAGGGTCATTAAAAATTAAGGTCAAATAAAAAAAAAACCTCGTTCCTAACATTTCCCTTTTTTACTCTGACATGTTGTCCATGCAAATTGAAACGTAATAAACAAAGTTGTGAAAATAATTTGAATAAAGAAAAATCAAGTAACATATTATGATAGTGGGGCCAGTATCGTTTATAATTAGAAACAGACAATTCAAAATGGCGGCCGAAGAAAAACTTGCTTCGATCCGGCTGAAAATTGGTATGCGGAGGACTTGAGGTGATCTTTATCATAAATTGGGGTCAAAAGATTTTTTCGCCATTTTTTAATATGGCTGCTTTGTAAGCCTTTTTTCATTAACAATGGCTGCTGAAACAGACTTGCTCTTATTCGGTTGAAAATTGGCATACGGAGGCCTCTAGGAGTGCCTGATAAAAAATGTTGGAAAAGGAGGAAAGAACAGTAAGCCTTCATATCGCTTTTTTGTATAATAATTATGATCAATATGTATAATAACCACCTCAATCATATAATGATGATAGCTACAAAAATTATTTAAAATTTATTCAGACGCTAAATAATACGAAATTTATGTGCGAAATTTAATTTGAAATTTATCATGAGCTTTTCCGTGAAGGAAAACATCGTGATGAAACCTGCACGCCGAAGACGGTTCACAACTCTCGAAAAACGTGTAAGGTCCCCAACCCGCATTGGGCCAGGGTGGCGGGTCATGGCCTAAACCCTCGTCTGAAAGGGACCCGTGCCCAGCAGTGGGACATATAAATGGGTTGATGATGAAATAATACCATATTTTATAAGTGAAATTCGACAATTATCGAACATACCATTCGTTACTGCCGGCTGGTCGGGCTCCGGGAATGGCGCATCCCGCAGCATAAGCACACCTCGAAATCTAACCTAACCTAACCTAACCTCGAAAACTAGAGTCGCCGGCGGTGCCGCCGCCGTCCATAATATCTTTGTAGGTATATATTATAAGAGCTTCATATTTGCAAAAGCAGTTTTTGGCACTATCAGCCGTGAACAATGCCAAAAAATTCACTAAAAGAGGCTTCGCTTAACGCGTGGTCATAAAGTGGGCGTGACCGCAACCGCTGCGCCGGCTTACTCATGCAATTTTCAAGGCCATAAATAATAAAACCATGAAAGCGATCCAAAGCACTTTGGCTACTTTCAAGCCGCAGTTTTCTCCCATATTGAAATACCCTGCGACCTCAAACGTGTATAAGTTTATACGCGCTAAGGGAAATACGACATGACAGTTTACAACACTCCCTATCTTAAGGTCTCCACAACGTTATGAGCATCTCTTGAGTTCAACTTTTGTTTTTATTGTAAATTAGCTCGATGACTACCTTATGTAATAGAACATGTGATGTATACATGTAGTTTATACGCATTAAGGAAAGTAAAAAGTGACATTTTTCAACGCCCCCACCGCTGTCTTAAATTCCCAACTTGATTTCAAATGCCTCCTGGGATCAATTTTAATTTTTAATATAAGAATCTCGATAGCTCCTTTGTATCAAGGAAATGTATTGTTTATAATGGAAAATGCATTGTGACACTTTATAACACCCCACCGTTGTTTTAAGTTTCTCAACTTGATTTGAAACGCCACTACTACTACATAATACTACTCCAGGGACATTTATTTACGTTTATATTACGGATTTTTTTTTTGCTGATCTAAGAGGTTAGACTTTAGGAACCGTTTGGTACAGTCAAGAGCACGTCAAGCTTGATACTTTGTACTTTGGACCGCTCTTATCGTAAGCGGCATAGAGTGGGATTTAAATCTTAAGTGTCAAGCTTGACGTGCTCTTGACCCTGTACAGTTAACTCATTTTTTGATATATTTGTGGATTGGATCCTTTTTGCTTAACTACGTCCAATTCGAAAACACCTATCGATTGGCCTTATTTTGAATAACGAGATTACGTATTTATCATATTTTCACTGCATAATCACATCAGACTCTGTTCTTCGGATGAGTCTATCTGTCGACATTCATGAAGGAAGAGTTTTGGCCGAAAGATATAACGGCGATTCCGCGGTCGGTTACCTGACACCAGATTGCGCCACACGTCGCCGACAAGTGCAATTCGTGTAGAATAGTTACAAATAATGCTTTATTATATTGTATGTACGTTAGTCCTTAAGGTATATATTATAAGGATCATGTAGCCTGAACTAAATAATAAAATAAATAAATAAAAAGTAAACATATAGTGTATCGGACTGTGTCAATGGGTTAAAGGGTGGGTGTTAACAACGAGTGAGCCAGGCCAAAGTAAATGTACTTACAGCTTATTAATTTATTAGAAAATACGTATAGCTTTCAAAGCAAAACAGTAAACAATAGTCAAGAAAAGGCGCCATAAACAACCACATTTAAATTTAGAATTTAAATATAAAACAAACGTAAAGACTACAAAATATATGTACAATAGAGATTAGCGACTGCTGTGATTCGCTACAATATATGAGATATTTATGATTAGTCAGTTGTGAGAGCATGCTGCTATACTTATATGACACCATAATGAGTTGTAGCTTCAAAAGCACGTAGGTACGCTACGTAAGTAAGACGTTTCTTTATAGCTCCTGATCACTGAATGCCTATTATATTGTATATTTCGAAAATTTTTTATTTTATTTTCACACTTGACCATTAGTTATGGTGTAGTGTAGTGCAGTATAGTGTATTGTAGTGTTGTTATTTCAATCTGGTCAACTCACTATACCTGTAATATAAGATTTCGGAAAAAGGCATTAATTATGATTACAGGGAAATTCACATGTATTAGTGAAACGTGTACCGATTATTGCATGTTTGGTGGAATAAGGCCATTGTCATAACGATAATTAACGTAGCATTTCAACCGCATCTGATAATAATGAACAAAATGAAGTACACGCTCGCTTCCATAAAACATGATTCCGTGTAATGTTCAGAACCACTAGCAGCCTTCACTCTGTGCACAAAATCATTGCAAATTAACGACGAAATAAAACATCATTTTAAAATTTAAAATATTATAATATTGAGTTTATTGAATATCACGATGTTTTACTACAATGATATTAATTTTTTTTGTGAAATTACTCCACTTGTTTGTTTTATTTATTCATAGAAAAATTGAACACTAAAAAAAATTCCTTCGGTCCGGCTGAATTCAAACCAGCGCCTACAGCATACCGATTCTGACGTTCTTCCAACTGAGCTACGAAACGAATCAGCAGACCTTACGAAATGTTCTATGTGCATGTTGCAGATCTTTGTCTTAAGTACTTTTTTGCAGTATAACGTCAGTGAAAATGTAACATCAAGCCATATTTGCTATAGAATGAAATGCAGACCTGGTCCGCGCAATTCTTCATTTAATTATTTTTTTTAAATAAAATAATACGAGGCAGAAAACTGCACTTTACTGATTTAACACTACATTTCTCGTTTAAAAATAAATAATGTAATACGGGTGTAACCAAAATGTCCGACGACGCTTCAGCTGATAAACATACTAAAATAAAAAGAAAAATTTAGTTATGTTAGTGAAAAAGCGTTTTGGTTCGCCAATAAATCGCGCGCGGTCAATCGAACAATTGTTACAAAGATTTTTTCACGATTTTTTTTAGCACGAACCCCAGGCGGACCGTGTTCAGTCCATTTTGTAACAACCTGTATATGCATAAATTTATCGCTTGACGCCATTTTGGGATGATACATGCAATATTTTAACGTGAACGTTATACCGTGACCTAATAAAACAATTTTATTGGTCATGTAATTTAACAATATTAAATTATTGTACTACATATTATAATTACCTTCGTTTTAAGAATTAAAATCAAAACATTGTGTGAAGCGATTTACTCTTTTTATGAATTGAACAAATTTGAAGTAAGTAAGAAATACTAACTTTCCACAAAAATTGAAACATGTGAGCTGTGCTCTATTTTGCACGGATTGCATTTCTCCCCAAGTTTTTTATTATACGTGTCAGGCAGATGACTCCATTCCACCAAGTTACATAAGTTTGCTTTCAGTAATAGTGCTTTTGTGGCAGGTCCTGCTTTCTGGGGCTTGATCAACCCGGAATGGTCGCTGTGCAACAAAGGTCGGCGGCAATCGCCGGTCAACCTCGAACCAGAGAAGCTGCTCTTCGACCCCAATCTACGCTTTTTACACATAGATAAACATAGGGTACTATAACGTAACTTTTATATTTTAATAATTAATTAGTTATTTATAACGTCCGTTCAGAAACAATTCAAATAGCACACACGCGCAAAACGGCAAAGCGATAAAACATATCAAAACAAATCACACAATTATTGACCATGTGATTATACAGAGTTATATAAGTCAGCATAAGTAACTTAACTTGAGTCTTAGATAAATGGTTTATTTATCACAAAACTCACACATGCAAATTATATATAAATAAAATAGTACAAAAAAATGACACTGCACAAATAAAATTTAAACATTCAAAGTAGAAATTATTATTTATGTTTTCGCTTGTAACATAAGCAAAAATAAAAAGTAATTAGAAATTAAATTAAATAACAAAAAGGACAATCATTGCATGTGTGCACTGTGGTGATAAAATGGCCTTAGCTCATGTAGTTGCTGCTCAATCAGAGCTATATACTGATGTTCTGCTACGCCCGGGTGCAGTCTCATACAATTAAGCATGATCGGGCTGTCAATTCTATCACTCACGACGCGAAGTAGCAATGAGGCAGCTCTCCTTCCGAGAAGAGCACGGAAGCCATCCAGGCGGTCTGCCCCAACAACACTTTAAACGCGATGTTGTTCTTATATATAGGCAGTGTAGCCTCCAGACCCAAGTAAAAGATGTAGAGGATCTCGACGACCTCGTAAAACCAAGGACTATAGTTGACTGTAATATATTGGCAATAGGTAGCTAGTTTAATACTAAATATATTTATTGCATTCGTATGGTACACACTAAGGTCATGTACAGGTAAGGTCTTAAAATTAAAACAAAGTTACACATATAAGCCCTGTATTAGGGATAACATGTCAAATTCGTTGTCATTATTCATTAAACAGTGGTGGTTTCTCTTGCATGAACAAATCAAAAGTGAACGGTCTTTTTGACCTTCGTTAGTTTATACAAAAAATTCGTTAAATATGTTGTATGGATAAAACACGATTTATGTGATGTCAGTTGATTGGTGCAAAATAGAACCCCGCAGCTTACGTAATGTGCCCTTAACGAGGCTTTTGTTACTGTTTCGAAAATAACATTAAATTATTATATTACAAATTTTCGGTTGTATTCGCTACACGCAGAGATACACTCAAACTTAAGAAAATAATTAAATCCACAGGCATCTTCACTATGCTAAATTGTTAAAACACATTATAAAATTACTGAAAAGTTAAAAAAAACTAATATGTATGAAATTGCAGCAAATAGTAAAAGAAATTAAGTATCTTGTGATATAAGTAAAACCGAACTTCAAAATACGTCTAAGATATGCCTAAGTAAATAATACAAAATCTAAAATTCGTTTCGTACGTTGAAGCACAGATGTTCAACAAAAGTTTATCTTTGGGCAATCTTGAGTGACTTTAAAAGAATATCAAATTTAGTATCGTTCAACGTAAATCCTATACTTTTGTAAATAAACAATGCTAAGTTTCTTTTATTCGAAAGCACTTAGTAAATATCAGTTCATAACTTTCTGGTTCTTGCGATACAAATGCGATAAAATATTTTTTATTTAGGCGACTTTCCATAAGTTTCTAAAACTAAAGATCGACGAAATAAAGAAAAGTTGCTGTTTTAATCAGTGGAAAGTGCTTTGTCTGAGACTCTAGTATAATTTTGCTTTAACGGAAAAATTATGCACGCAGCACTTTGTTACCGCACACACGAATATGAAACGCGCGACTAAACCAGTATTCTGAGATTATGTCGAGCGAGATGAAATAAATTCAAGAACTAAAGTAAAATTAGGAAAAATAATTCGTTCGCATTTCGTTTTGTTCTCAATCTTTAGTGCACAAGTAAGTATAATAACAATAATAATAACGCACATACCCATAGAACCGCACTAGGAAAACCCTGTATCGCGGGTGCCATAAACACACACATAGACAACCACAAATTACACCTAAACTCGCGAAAGAAATAAATGTAGGCCATACAAATATTTCTCCCGGTCTGGGAATAGAATCCGGAACCTCTTATGATTCTGATAACCGTTCGGCCACGGAGTCAGTTAAAATCCATACAACTATTAAGTCCACAATGCATTGTGGACATAATAGTTGTATTATTTGCTTCAATGGCTGCAGACTGCTGCACTTAATAATGAATGTTCATCGGACTTAACTTTTTCACCTTCATTAAATTAATTGTTACATTAAGCTCAGCATTCTCACAGTCTGCGGATCGGGATGATACCGCCAAGCTTATTAAAATTATAATAATGCGACTAATTATTTGGTCTCACTACCAGAGAGGAACTTAGTTCATTCCGCGGCACTACCAAGAACACACAGACCAAAAGCAATTCAGAAAAGCTAATTACCAGGAATCGAATCTGGTACCACCTCATCCAGCGCTCACAGTGCAAACAGTTGGGCCACCGAGTTCTTCAACGATAGTGTCAAAGTGCTTTAAATAAGTTTATAAAGCAAACTGCATCGTAATATGAAAGCGAACGATAGACGTGTAGGACCATTTGTAAGAATGAAAGACAAGTAATAACCCCATACATCTTAATTATTCAATCTGGCGAAAATGACGTTATGCGTTTCGTGTCAGTAGCTCTAAAGATTTTGGTGCTATAGCGGTCTAGAGCCACACGGTGTCTCTAACGCGCGGTTTTATTTTCATCACCAAAACAATTTAAAAAAAGAATATTTTTATTTTCCCTAACACCTTACGTCTCTAGGATGTGTGACGGGTTAATAGGTGTGGTGGTACCCTAATCTAACAACTTTTTCTTCTTCACAGATAAACGGTTTAATAAGCAATACGGGACACTCTGTGATCTTCACTGTGGAAAACGAAACTCGACACCACATCAACATCACCGGAGGTCCCCTCTCATATAAATACCAGTTCCATGAAATCCACATACATTACGGACTACATGACCAGTTTGGATCGGAGCATGCTGTCAATGGATATTCTTTTCCAGCTGAAGTAAGTATTTTAGCCGACCATGGTAAAAATAAAGAAATGTTATACTGCTTAGATCTGTAGTTTAGTATAATAAGACCAAGTAGGGCAACTCGCGCCTTGTTGGCGCATCAATACTTACACTTCATTCAGAGCGTAGGGTTGTCACATAATTATTTTTGTTTTACCTACAGATTGTAAACAGTGTAACTTACCTCTCTCGTGATTTTGATAATTCTTTTTCTGTTGGAAAGAGGGTACCTCGGTAGTAGTTCCATTCAAATTTGAAAAAAATATTCCACCTCTGAGAATGGCACACTAGGGGATGAATGACTTTTGAGGTCGGTTTTTTTAGTACTCTGTACTGAGATTACAAGTAACTTATACATAAAGAAATAAGCTTTAAGTTAATATATTAAAACAGAACAGGAGGAAAAGTCACATTTGGTGCTTGATTCAAAAAGCGTAGACAGGAGTTTCTTAACACGTTCTCAAAATCTGTATACGTGTATGTGTGTTTTATTTTGTTATAAATGATAAGCTAACGTAATGATAAATTGATGTAAAAATAACAAGTTACCAAAACTCTTCGAAGTAAACACGTTACGCGCACATTAAAATGTTATCGCAGATTTCGTAAAGGGGTTCAAAAGAAAGCGTAACAGATGTTTTTACACGCATCGCTCGACGGGGCGGCGGCGGCATGACGTCGCGGCCTGCACAGAAATCCCTAATGTAATCCCAGCGAGCGACTGCGGGCCCGCTCAACCGTACCTCCTGTTTATTTATGTGACAAATTCTTACGCAGTCATGTTAAATCCAAAATCATGTGCTTATTCTTCTGTGGATTCCTTTCCGGCTCTTACTCAATCATACTTATGAGCTTATTACATAAGCGCGTTGTTTGTACTAAGTTTTATTTCAGTACGAATTTATTTGTACAGAAATAAAACAAGTTATGAATGTTTCGTACATAAGCAACTATAAAAATAACGAATAACTACTTATACCAATGCTCAAGCATAATTTTGAAAAATTTCTTTGTAAGAATTTGATTCCGCTATTGTAAAAAAAATCAGTAGTATCCATTAATCTCTTATTTGTACTTACTTACTTAAATGTACGGATTTCATTTTGTTTCAGATTCAAATATTTGGTTTCAACTCACAGCTTTATTCGAACTTCTCGGAGGCGCTACATAAAGCTCAAGGAATTGTTTCCATTTCCCTATTGTTACAGGTAAAGTATTTTTCACGGATTACTTTAAGAAGACTTGACAATCGTGTTACATTTTAGTGTCGAGAATATGTACCTACACCTGAACCTTTTGTTATTTCCGATAACTTCATTCGTAATAACAGTAAGCTAATGCTAACCAAATCACTTAATCTTCCGCGCTCCGAAACTGTTTGGTTCGATGCGCAAGAAGTACGTATTACATAAGATCCTGGAAATATTTTAATATACTTTCTAATTATCCGAAGCTAAAAATGCGTTAAATGCAGCTATACATTTAATTTAACGTATGTTTTGCAAAGTACGTACTGTAGTGTGCTGCACCAACACAATATACATAAACGTCCCACTCTTGGATACGAGTAGCCGTTAGAGACCTCTTCCCTTTCTTCAGTATTTTATTGGTAATCATAAACGTTATGTAGTTTATTTATATAACTGTACCACAAGGGTATGAAAGAAGACGAGAAGTCCTTAAAGGAGATATATTTAGCAGAGCAATGGGACACATGTGCGTTGGTATTGTATATTGCACTCCATATTATTACAACAATATTTATATTTTTATTTCAACAATATTGCTTTGTAAGTGGCAACATTAAAGCAAAGTTACCATTAAGGTGTACGACATGGTTGTTTTCCAACTTGTGGCGAAGCATAATAAGACCACAAATTGCCGGGTTAATAACCGCCAACAAACATTGTACAGTTTTCGTACTTTGTTCACAAATTCGAGGAAGCGACAATTATGAACAAACAAGTTTCCTGTAAACGTTGTGCCTACAATTGGTTTATTGGCAGTCGCTACCTATCTAAGTTTAAAATTTATTAATTATATCTTTTTATTCACCGTAAAGATTGTAAGGTGTTACATAAGTTACACAAAAAGAGACTGCGTCCTTTTTTTGACATCGCTCGACCAAAATAACCTCAAGGTCTATTAATGTTATGCGAATAACTCTATAGGCGTCGAGGTTCTTTTTTAATATTTCAGGATTATTTATATTTTGTACTGTCGTTATTATTCCGTCAATGTTTTTAATGCTTTTTTGGTCGTTCATCGCCCACAAATTCAATCCAACTGCAAAATATATAGATTGGTACGTCGGCGGCGTTGACAGCAGCGATTAGCTATAAAAACCACACTTTTAAAAATTATACGAATGCGCTTTCACGTAATTGGTATTATCGACAGAGTGTTATCAAAAGCCGCACCTATTCGCCACTGCCCAAACTGAACGCTGTTAATTAAGGAAATTGAAGTTTTCTGCCGACATCGGATTAGCCCAAGCTATTAGTTCAAATTAAGAGACTGACGCTACCTGTACTGCCAGTCACAGGATCCACTTTACGTTCCATTAATTGCCATTTGTTTTACTTCCTTTATCACAAAACCTTGTAAGCCGTGGTAGCCCAATGGTTTAGCCTACCGCCTCTTAAACAGAGGCCGTGGATTCGAATCCGGGCTCACACCTCTGAGTTTCTCGGAATTCAGGTGCGAAATTTAATTTGAAATGAATTTTTGGTGAAGGAAAACTTCGTGATAAAATATGCACGTCGAAGAAGGTTCATAACGCCAGGAAAACCTGTGAAGTCCCCAACTCGCCTGAAAGAAGACCCGCGCCTAGCAGTGGGACGTACAAATGGGTCGATGATGAAAGGCGAAAGTCTCTTTACATTCCAATGACCAATATTATCGTAGTTTGTAAACTCGAAAATTATGCAAGCAAAAGTTTTAGTCCATAAAGTGAACTTCGCGTAGCTAGTAACGGTTACTGGTACCTCCATAATGTTGTCTGACATGGGGAAGTAACTATTCGATCGTTTTATGAGTCTCTTTAATGAGGGGCTTCGTCGTCGGCGCATCCCTCGGTTGTTGTGTTTAGGAACATGTTTACAGACACGTTCGTAATATTTCGCTTAGCCTGTGTACGTTGTAAGCTGGAAATTTCTGAAAGCAAGCAATATTCACCAGACGACAAACAAAGACGTTGCCTGCACACTTTATAAAGCATGTCTTTTTTGTTATGTACTTGAAGGACTTTGGTATTACGATGATTTGCGAATATATTAAAATGTGTTTTTTGCAGCTTGGGGATCTATCAAATCCGGAGTTAAGGATATTGACAGAAGAATTAGAAAATATTAAATACGGAGGTACATTTCAAAGTCTATAAATTCTATTCTAGCTTTGTTACTGACTAAAGTTCGATAATAACAATCATTTGTATAGTTTCAAAGTGCTCTATATCTATGTACATAAAAGTCATAGCATAATGAAATAAGTATGGTAACTCCATACAATCGTAGCAGCGTCGCTTGTTTGTGTGCACAGTCGCCGCGAGCCGTGTACGAACGCACACATTCGCATAATTTCGCTATGCACTAGCGTTGCATAGCGCAGGTTGTTCCACGTGCATTTCATTATTAAGCGTAAGTGTGCGTCGTGCGTGACTCCTTCACCATATTTCACCATATTATATTGTCACCATATTTGTCTTATTATGCTATGACTTTTACGTACTTACACTATTTAAAAGTTTTCTATATCTAAGCATAGACACTGTTTAACAGACAATAATACTATAGTATAGTACCATCGATAAATTTTGAAATATCAAAATCAAATTCTATTTTATTTGTAATAGGAGCAGAAATGCCAGTAAACAAATTATCGGTCCGAGGTCTGCTGCCTGATACGGAATACTATATGACGTACGACGGGTCCACAACGGCGCCAGCCTGCTTCGAAACCGTCACGTGGGTCATCATTAACAAACCCATTTACATCACTAAACAGCAGGTTTGACATTCCAATATTATTTGATTTCATAACTACACAAGTCAGCGTACTAAAAATATTACTATAGTCGTACGCCTACCTTATCCAGGCGCCGTTAAACTGTAGGAATAGGTATTCTAGGGGAATATTAAATGTTACAAACAGTCCCAGCCATTTAATTAAAACATTCAAGGAATGTTTGTAAAGAGAAATGATAACAAACTAATAATAAATCCAGAAAACAAAGAATCTATTTTATTATCATCATGTATTGTGGTCAAACAAACGAACTTGACAAAATTATAAGGATTCTAATTTTTGTGTTTTGGCTATTATGGAACTCTAAAAATCTTGTATTCATTCTACATTACACAGCCCAGTTCTGACCTATAAAGTTTGCCAAATATAAATATTTTGTAGAGCATCTTACACTTCTGAAAATGTATTCACTACTCTTGGAAAGCCTTTTCCACTAAATTGGGAAAGTTTTGCATTCGCATCGCTTTCATACTAGGCATGAAATGAAGTGATATCCTTAAAATCCCTTCATAATTTTCATTTATAACCAAAGTAGTATTAATCGTAGTTACCATCTCACAAAGTTAGAATCCATTAAGTAGTTGCAATCAATATTAGCGGTTGTGCCCGCATTTGTTCAAGTTCACACTATTTGCAAGGCACGCTCCGGTTAGGCCAGTTTGTAACCAGACTTAAAGTTAATGGAAATTCCTCTTCGTCTATAAATTTTTAGTAATTTCGGTATTTAGATTATAAACAGAGGTTGGAGAACGGATTTCTAACTACATGAATTGTACTGTTCTTTATGTTGCTATGCAAAAGCTTCAAAGATGGCACCAAATTAAAAGTGTTTTATCGACAAACAATCAGTGTCTAACACATTTACCTGTAGTTGTTAACTTTAGATTTCTGGTAAATAAATATTCTAGAAGTGTTAAATAATTTATAGTATTTTACAAGAGTTTTGTAGTGTTTGCCGTTCCGTATAAACAACAAAAATACTCTTCTAGACTTTAAAGAGTTTGAGGGAAAAAGAGAGGAAGCGGAAATGGGCTACGTCCGCACATCTAGGTTGATTTAGGTCTGTGTATTCAACTGTAGTTGAGGCCAGCGTAATAACATTTTCATTTGTGCTCACGCTATAATAAACAACTCACATCCCTCGCCTTTAGACAAAGACTCCACCGTGAATTATGTACGTGTTAAAAGTAAACTGAAAGTGCCGCGTTCTATGGTTGTTATTATAAATCATTGTTTATGTTTTCCGTTTGTGTTTATGGGAAAATTAAGTGGTAGTGGAAACTGTTTGCAATCTTGTGGGGAGCTGAATGAACGCCATGTGGTCGGCATCTAGTTGCTTCAAGCGCAATGCACCGAGGCGTTGCTTGTTCTACTTTGTGCAAATATTAAATTGGAGAAATAACTCTTGTCCTTATTCTTGAACAGTTTGTATACTTTCCAATTATGTGCAAAGAATATAAAGTAACTGCATACATTCCAAGTTTAAATCGCGTCATATAAATAAAGACGATGCAACAACAGTAACAGCAATGATTCATTGTGCAAGTTTGTAACAAAGCTATAAACAAACCAGTAAACAGAAATCAAATTTCAATTTTTGGGGTGAGTCTATAATCAGTATCAAATTGTTTAATATAACGTAGACAGCGTTGGGAATGAGCTAGCGGTTGCGTGTGCCAGGTCCGTTAATCCCACCGTGGCAGCCATTCCATTCAACACTACACATAAAACGAAGAAATTTCAATTTACCTGAAATCGTTCCCCGCTATACTTGTTTACATCCTAATAATGCTAGCGAAACACATTCACATGCGAAATTATGAGTATGTCAAAAATTGTACACATTACACTCGTAGTATGAGAATAAAAAAGGAACTTTGTTTTGCCAAGCGCTTCTGCATTGTGCCTCTAAAATTGGTTTCATAATACGTGTAATTGTAGTTTATATCGCTCCCTGTAGACTTGCGTTGTAAACTTGTTTTTTAAATGCTCAGCCATTTCAACTCTATGTGTGCAACTCATATTCGATTTTGGTTTGTGCCTCCATGTGTATACCGTGTTTGGGTACTTGACTGTAAAGTTTTAATGGAGTTATTAAATTTAATAAGTTATAGAATTTAATAACAAAAAGTTAAAATTGAATCTTATTTTGATCATACCTAATTTCAAATAAAATTCTGTTTGTATTTACGATTACTAACGAATTCCAAAATATGTTGCGTCTTATTTCTTTAATTCATGTCATGAATAAACCGGCTCAGGATGACGCGAAACACAACTAAGTGATATTTTGTGTTTTTCGGCTCAGTGTTACCATGAAATTTATACAGATATATCGTCTAAATAGCGTGATTTAAATTGCAGGTTTATTAAACTTTTGACAGATAATTAGCGTAAACAGTAATATAAACACTGAGCCTGGAAAACAAAATAGCAACCTCAACAGACTGCCTGGGGTTAATTTTCAGGTTAGCTTTCTCTGCCCAATTTCGGTTGCAATTTCTATTAATTAAGTATTCGAGTATATTATCGTGAAATATTAAATAATATTTCATTATTTATTTAATATCAAGTGATGATAATATTCTAGAATAATTAAATAATAAAAATTGTCATCGAATTGAAATAGAGATATAGATAACCGAAAATTACCCTCTGGAGCCTTAGGTGAATAGCCTGCTGAAATCTGTTTCTTCCAGTTTTCAGAATTAGTTCACGGTAAAATCTAGTACTGACTACAGTACAAGCCTGTTGCTTAACTGAGTCGTTCCCGAGGTAGCCGCGCGGTGCGGGAGGAGTTACGAAACAGTTATGTCGCGCTGCACGCGTGATAATTTCAGCAAGATTTTTCTGACGATATTCAAATAATAAGCAAGTTGATAGAAAAAACCTACCAAATTATTCAATTGTTATTTTGTGAATCGATAATAAAAAAGTATTTAATTGGTAATTGAAATTAATAGACAAGCCTTTTGGCACTTTTTTCAATCAATTTCTTGTAGAATATTGTCAGAAAAATCTTTTAAAAAATTACCCCATTTGTAGCGCTACATACCTGTTACGTAAACTGACACTCCTCCTGTACCCCGCAGCTACCGCAGGAACGGACTCAGTTAAGCGGTAGGCTTGTATAAGAGTACCATGGACAGGTGTTGCTTAGCACCAGGCGCGACTTGTTCGTCTTTGTCACTTGGTAACAAAAAAATATACATATAATTCATTTATTCAGTTACACGCGTTGCGGCGTCTGATGCAAGGTGATTCGCGACATCCCAAAGCGCCCCTCGGCAACAACTTCAGACCGCCACAACCGCTGCATCACCGCGCAGTGCGAACCAACATCGACTTTGACTTAAGCAAGGTACATGCGCACTACTTTACAACGTAATACAAACATAACATGCAGACCATGGATCTGGTGTCTTGAGAATTTTATTATTATTATTAATATTTTTCTCAAGTCTTATGTTATTATTTTATTATTGAAACCATGGCAGCCTAATGGTTGACCTACCGCCTCTTAAGCAGAGGCTATGAGTTTCTCGGAATTCAAACGCGAAATTTAATTTGTAAGTTATCATTTTCGGTGAAGGAAAATATCGTGGTGAAACCTGCTCGTCGAAGAAGGCCCACAACCCCCAGAAAACGTGTCAAGTCCCCAACCCATGAACGGTTGCAAATCTTTGTATTGGGTTTAAACGGCATTTTTGCCGTCACCCGTGAGACAGTTATGAAAGTTTCTTGACTCAGCCAGACACCTCATATTACTATTGTCGCGATTACCTGAACTATGGCCTCACTTTTTACATTTATTTGAAACGATATACAACATGTATCTAAATACTGGTTTATGAGAATATATCTGATATTGAAACTTATTTTTCAGTACCCTGGAAAAACTTGCCCAAGTATGCATCGGAATATGCATTATAAAGGTAATTCCAAAATTAATTTAATAAGTACATATAAAAATATTTTTCAACGTTCACTATTTACTTTTATTTGTTTCAGCCAAGAGCTGGACACAATATTGAAGATTGAATTATGAAATGGTAGGCATTCATGTAAATTTAAACTTAGTGGCTATGTAGGAAAATGTATGATTGATATAGAAATATTAAAAATTGTAAATAATACTTCTTGTACAGTCCCGTTGATATATCTTGCTTATTATAAATGAAGCTAAAATGTGTATTTTTAAATAGTTAAGTAATTACTGAAGTGTAAGAAGTACAGTAAATGTAATATTATAATTAGACTTCCTGTAGGCAATTATTGTTATTATTTAATTCGTAACTATTTGTATTTTATAACGGCCTCTTAAGGTAGGTTTACATACATAAATATTTTCGGATAGATTGTTACCATATTATTCTCGCTGTCAATACATAGGTACCTTAATGAGTAGTATATAGTATTCGCGAGTATATCATAAAATAAACGGTTTTGTATCCTGTGTAACAGTAGATTCTATAAGATAATGTTCTCGTATATATCGTTTTTTGTTTATTGTGTTTTCTTTAGAGAAACGTATTGTGGAACGTTATTTTTTCAGACGAAAGGAGTCGGTAGTGTGATCTATTAGACATGTTTACTCGTGTAGGCTCAGTTATGACATTGTTAGTTCAATTAAATGAGACATAATCATATCAAGTTAAACATATTATTATGTATGTGTATGACGTTGGTTAAGAGAACCTTTCGCCTGTTCTTAACCTTAACGCTGTAAGACATGTATAGCTTTAATATCTTAGAAGAAATCCTTGCATAGCAACGTTAAAGAAATCCTCGATAACAAATAGGATATCTCAGCTTTCTTGTAAGGTCCGTTATTAATAAATTATTATTTGAATAAATATCTCCCAACATTTTCTTGTCCCACTTTTATTTCGAACCCCACAAAAAGATTTGTCGTAATAATTTCATGATGCTATTTCAAACCCCGCAAATCTTTTATACGCCGACTCACAAAGTCGGTGATCACAAGTTTAAAAATATGCCTTTCTGCAATGCGATGGAGCGGAACCGTCTGTTTCATTGTTTCCTCTACGACGGCGTTTGAATAAAAAGCTCATTTGAATTCTATAAGAATCGAAATTGCTCTGCTTTTCGCCGTACTAGCTTAATTTAATAGCGTATCATGACATTGTCCTTTACCCTTTAAATTAGGTACGCGTAATAATGCAAAGGTGAGGAGAAATATGTTACACGCTTCATTTAAGGTATTTTATTTCATTTCCTGAACACATGAACAAGTGATTTTCATGCGTATAATCGATTGATGTTGCAATACATTGGTCAGTTACACCAATATTTCTCGATTAGCTACCCTTTACCCGATTTTTACCTCAATCGATTAAAATTTATCTCCACATTACTAAAAGGGCATATCGTATATAAATTTGCTACATACTTGATATCATACAAATCTTTAAACAATTTTACGTACCTATTGACGAAATCCAGTGCTGATCTTTAGGTTATAACTTTGACTATTTCACATACAATATGCTCACCTACGAAATGAATAATAGAATTTTCAAATATTGCATACGTTTCTATGAAGCTAAGCAAAAATATACAGCCCGTGCCACCAACATATCCGTCATATATCCGATCATTAATTACAGCTCACGCAATTGCTTTGTTTACTTATTTATTTATTCATTTATTTATTTATTAGGCGCACCAACCAGCTACTACAATATTTCATGTAGGTATTAATACATTTCAAAATCTTAGTCCAATTGCGTAAATAAATAGGTGAGCACCTCATGCACGAAAAATGTTTAAACTCTGTTTAAAAATGTACCACAAATATTTAGAAAGGAAGATTTTTTTTAAAACAAAATATGCAATACGATTCCTGACATTAAATAATAAACAATGCTATGTGCACGAACCGAGAAAATTAAGAATATTGTTTTTGTAACTTGGAAGAGTAACTATTGAAATTAGACATGCTATAGGGGAATTGGACAATTACATTGAAAGGTCAAATGAAACTGTCGATTACATTGACTTACAAATAAATGGACGACGGGTCTAATACAAAAACCACGAAAAAAATGTCCCAAGTCAACCTATTTAAACGTAGTGACATGTAAAGGAATATGAAAAAGCTAAAACGTTGAATTTAAATTGTAATGTCAGCGCAGTACTGTCTAATTTTGCTTGATTCGCTGTCAGTCGAACAAATGAAGACTAAAGCGTGAATGACGCTCTGTATACGATTTTAACGCCCTATAAGTTCGGACACTTTTTAGCGCGGACCCGACGTCCATATAATTGTAAGTCAATGGTCGATTACTATGTTTGTACTAGCAACATTAGAAATAGACTAGAGCAACAAACTCATATCACGGAGATTGGAATAATAATATGCCAGATAACCACACCAAACACCTGTTTAAAGTAGGGTATTAAATTACGTGCGCTATGAGTACCAACGTAAGAATACCCACATCAGAACTAGTTTAGAAAAAAGTTCCTTTCCAAAATTGGTCTTACCGGGAATCAAACCCAGGACTCTCTCATCCATCGCCCACAATGCAAGCCCTTGAGCCATCGAGGCCGTCAACATTTGTTAAATCTGTAATGTAGCAATGTTAACATTAGGTATCAGTTAACAAACTAGTGGAGTAATTTCACAAAAAATAATTGGATATCAATTCAATAAAAATTTAATTAATACAATGAATAGCGACATCTCTCGCCAGGACTGGTAGCTGTAAAGGTACTAACTGGGCGATAAATCTTTCATAGATTTCTCATAGATGGCGCTACGACTAAAAAGTCGTTGAAAAACCAAATACAAAGACACGACACAAGCACACAGAAAAATTCATGAGGTCCGTTGGTTCGTTCCGTGGCATAGCGTCTGGCACGGTATGCAAGAAGACGTCGGTTCGAATCCGACCGGATGGAAGGAATTTTTTCTGAGTGTTTGATCTTTGTATTAATAATTATAACAAACTAGTGGAGCAATTTCACAAAAAATAATTGGATATCAATTCAATAAAAAATTAATTAGGTATCTACCTACATACTACAAAGACTCCATAAACTTAAATAAACCATGTGACTCGAAAGAAATTGTTATGGACAAGTTACCACAATTTATTACAATTTTTGGCAAGCAGCGGGTCGTACAGTTGGGCTAACTGGAGATTAAGATATCACGGAGTAAATCGTCCGATTTTCCGCACCGGAACCCGCCTCGCCGTTATTGGGAAAGTTCCGCGGCGCGTTAATAGACTTACACAAATTGAGTTCATTAAAAATAAAATCAGGCGTGTTATCGAACCAGTTAATCCTTCAACAATATTCCAAGTTTACGATACGTTTATTTTATTTTTGCTTGTAGCCCTTGTACTATTGACTTTGCATAAAATAATCTTCTTCCTTCATAACGTATAATATGAAGGTAAATTTAAAAATCAATACAACATTTTCGATGCATTTAATTTTATCCATTGTTTCCTATATTCATGGAAAATATACCTACCTCAATAGTTCAGTAACTGTTGACGAAATTCTTAATAACAATCTGTAAACGTATCCTACATACTTACCTCTTGTGTACAATGCAAACTTCCTTTGCCAAATGCGACATGTTAGGGGAACAAATAAAAATAAATTCTACCTTTTTATTTTCATGTATTTACATAGGAAATATTTTTGTGTAACCAATTCTCCGTTATAACAAATCACAGGGCGTGTTGACACAGGCTGCTAAACGCCGAGAGGGCCTCGAGTATGCTCGACGAGCTCGAGCACGAGAGTGTGAGCCCGAAGATGCTCGAGCGACGAGTTTATTTGCTCTTTCTTCAAGCACGTTCAAGTGAGATTTGCCTCGCCGTATATATCTTAAAGTGCGCTGAAGGCAAGAAGATTTCATTTCAAATCATTGCTTAATGTTTATGAATTATTTTATTTTAGAAAAGAGTTTTTTGTATAATATTAAGTGACGGGACAAGCAAGTCGTGCGTCTGATGGTAAGCTACACGCCTGTCCATAACAGCTGCAGTGCTACTCAGAGCTTTAAATCACAAAGAGCACTGCCTCTGACCCATCAACCTGAGACATAAGTTGACAAGTCCCATGTGCCTGTAATTTCACTAGCACCATTAATTACCCTTCATAACCGGAACGCAGCAATGTGAGCAACATTAATGCTTGGCGGCAGAAATAGGTAAGGTGGCAGTACTTACCTCGACAAACTCTTCCACTATTGTTACTAAAAGTTATATAAGTCAACATTTTTTGTAAGTTCAAACCAAATGTAAATAACATAAACAATGTGAAAAGTAAAGACAACATTCAAAACTTCTAGGCTACAATAGAGCAACGACAAAGCAGAAAACCTAAATAATACGAAATTCGGAGGCAAAGTTTAGTAAAAACTTGGATGGCAGCGGTATGGCATGTGTGGTGCAACCGATTGGAGTTTTATGCAAATTCATGTATGTTGCTGCAGACCCGCCACTGTTATCAGAACAACGATTGTAAATAAATTTCATATGCACAGCGTGTATTTATATTGAAATAATAATATTTGGAATAATAATTACGAAATTAAATAAAAAATAAATTAATGGACTTTAAGTTATTTGTTTGTAGTATTTGTATAGAAAAATATTACTTAAAAAGAAAACGAAAATGATATCAAACAACAAAGTATCATCCCATGTGGAAGCAACTGCAACACTACAGCTAATTTTCTTTGAAAATGAAGTAATATTATACAATTCTCAGCACGAATAAGCTGTATGTAATAATACAAACAAACTGGCATTATGTGGTCGATAAAAGACGGTATGCAAAACCAAACATATTTTGTGAAAAATTTAACAGCGCGCGTTTGTATTCAGTGTCCTACATGAATAAAGAATGCCTGTCATTCCCCTTTTTATGGGCGTTTTGTTGCATGTGTGGATATCTTATTTAACGCTGAAACATGGCATTTAACACTTGAGATAAGGTAGGTAAACGATATAACCAATTTTAATTTCTATTGCCTAAATTATCTGGTTTAAATTTGTTTATTAAGTCATTATCTCTTTCACAAAAGATACCAGAAGTCTACGTCTGAGATTGTGTAATAAAATGCCAATTAACTTTTTTATAAAAAAAAACCGACCTCAAAATTTCTTAGTATTACATCTATTTGCCAAGTTTTATTGAAATTGGTTGCCGGAAAGTACGCGAAACTCCATTCATCCCCTAGTGTGCTACCCTTTGAGGTGGAATATATTCTTGCAATTTAAATGGGACCAATACTACTTACACAATACTCTTTTCAACAAAAAAAATCATAAAAATCGAATCACAAAGAGTCATCGTGTAAGTAAGATACATACAAAAAAATACGATCAGATTGAGAACCTCCTCCTTTTGAAGTCGGTTAATAATGATGAACTTGTACAAGTCTTAAAGTATCTACGAGAGTTTCAAGGCAAACGGAAAACTAAATATCAATAACTTTACTCCAAAAAACTGTTCGAGGGAGGAAATCGGCTTTTACACTGGGACTAACTCTTTATTTGTACGGTTAATCCCGGGAGGGCAGAAGTTAAAAACAGCTTTCACCGGCCGCCGCTTTTGAATAAGTTCGCTCAAGTTTTATTGAAGTTGTAACCTTCGGCTTTTGATATATGTACCCCGCATCTGTGGTTAAAGTTGGTGCAATCGTAAATTATTCAGACCCCAGTTGTCGTCTTCGGGTAAGGGTAACAATGTGATATTGTTGATACAAGTATATTCGTAGCTGAGTGCCATTCGCTTAAGTTTACTTTACGTACAGTCTCAAAGTTAATGCCACTTAGTATTTATTACAAAGAGGCACCAACTTTACGATTA